TAACTCTGACTCCAGTGACGAAAAAGAAATGATTTTGAAACAAAACTTGGACGTTTTAGTCCCAAAATATCTTGGAACGATTAGTTTTGTTTTCCATTTTCTTGAGCAAATACAGAGAGCTGACTGAGACGCCATTGTGTTTGGTGCCTGGGTAGACGTCATCAGCAACCGCCGCCCCAGACTCCCTGAAACGCAGTCGTGTAACACTTCAGGCGCGACTTTGAAAGGGCATAGAAAATCGAGGATTCAACCAAATTCCAATTTTTTTTCGCCCAAATGCTTCAAATAACAAGTGGATTCATTTTAGCGAAAAAAAATTTGGGGAGTTAGGTGCACTTTAAGAATTACCCATAGGTCGGTTCAATAATATCATCTGCTGTTTTCAAACTACGTTAGTGTGTTTGTCATGCTTCTCCTTAGCGGCATTTTTATTTCGGGTCTTAATTGCATTCGAGTTGGTTGGTTTAATATTCTTCAAACTGTAAATTTGTGACAAAAAGACCAAAAGAAACCAGGAAAGTGCTCAAATATTGCTGCAGACTCCATCGCACCTAATGAAAGCGCAAATTAATTTAATCCGTCTCAATATAATATTGGCCGAGAAGCACTGTTTATCTTCAATAGTTCTCGTTGAAACGCTTCTCAATTGTATCAATCGATATCACTGTGTATTAATTTTGGATTGTTTTATTGTTAACAACAAATGTGGCAACAGAAAAAGAAAGTGGTATTCCGTTACCATCAGATAATTAAATTAGTTCTTGTGTATTGGTAAAAAGAAAATTTGCATTTTGAGTAAAACAAAATCGTTTCTCTTCAATTTCTTCATCAGCTTTATACCTTCTTTCATTTATCTCCAGTGGCGCAAAAAAACACAAGCACATCTTCCGTGTATTTTGGAGAAAACAAGAGTTTCATTTTACATACCGTCGTGAGGAAAACAGAAGTATCAAGTTACAAAGTTGGCGTGAAAAGCTTAATTGCCACGTTTGCTGCTTCATCGTATCATTGAATTTAAAATGAACGAAAATCAACGTAAAACATCAAAGTAAAATTTAAGGCTGTCGTAAAAAACAGTAATTGTAAGTTATTTTTGGACCTTGAATGAAAATGCAACCATGAAACATACATACTGCTAAGATTATGTCTTATCAAGGTTTGTGTCGGTTAATATTCTGTAAGGGGAAATGCCCTAGCAGACTACCGAGGTAAATACAAACCGGAAGTGAACCGAGCAGGGGTGAGTACCCGTGTGACTGTGTGCCAGAGCTATCAATTGCACTGTGCACTATCTGAGATTATCTCACTGGTTGGTGCTATATGAATGTCCAGTCATGGTGACTATTAGGCTGGATCACTGTTACTATTCACTTCCTCCAAAGGATTTACCTCTAAGACTGCCCTAACACTACTTTGCGCCATATATTTAAGTGAAAACTATTGTATTGTGGCAAATGTATCAAGGTTAAAAAAGAAAGTCTTGTAGATTTTGAGGAAACCCTTATAAGTGATGCAAAGCGGTTTTTTGTAACTGCTATGAAATCATCCCCATAGGTACAGTTTAGCTAAGGAGGGGCCCTAAAGGTAACGTTATTTCCTCTAGGAGTTCTGGGAGCAACCCCTGTGAAATTGTGAAAATCTAAACAAGATCACACAGGATTGCTATGTACTCTAGAGACTTAGTGACAAAATTTAATGTCAGGTTTAGGTACTTATCCAATGCAAAAACATGAAGGAACTTTACTAACCTACAGCTTGTAGGTTAATCTGTACCTTTTTAT